TTCTCATCCTCTGACTGAAACAGTCGGTTTGAGGGTGTTTTCCCTTTAAGAGGTCAGTGTAACCGCCCACTTTTATGATTGGCTAACAACCATTACCGTCATTACCGTTTTAAAAATAGTTTTTACATGAAATTGTCACGGTGCAGGGTGCCTTCTCGGCTTCGCCTGCGGTCTGGGTTGTCCTGTCATGTTCGGTAGCTTGTGGTCTGGGCAATCAGCGCTGATCTCGCAGCGGGGGTTTGCGGATCACGAGCAGACTCTCCCCCACCTGTTGCTCATTCCCCCACTCCCTTATATGTCTCTGCCTGTCTGTCCTTCATCGTGAGTAGATTGTTTTGTCCTTGCTCGTGTCTTTGTGTAACCTGTGAGTGCAAGCATCAGTATCTGACCCTCTGTTCTCCTGTGCTTAAGGACTCGTAGTACGGAGTCCGGCAGCTCGAGTGGTCCGCAGTGTCTGCCGGCCAGCTCTGGAATCTCCGCTCACTTGAGCAGCAGTTAACTATTGTTTATGTTATTTTGTGTTTTGTGGTGAGAATAAAGACCGTCCTTTCTCACTACTCTGCATCTGAGTCCTCTCTCTATCCCAGACCCTGACAGAATCTACTCACCATAAATGGATTCAGCAGAGGAGACGGAGTTGCGCCGAGCCCTCCTGCAGCAGGGCTCTCTTCTGGGTCAACAACAGGAGGAACTCGCGGCTTCTCGTCGCGCCTACTCGGAGATTTCTCTCCAACTCAACCAGCTGGCAGAACGGCTGGACCAGCTGCAGGCCAGCCCTTCGGCAGCCCGGGCTGGCACACCCGCGCCTGGCTCTGAAGGAGCCGTTCCTCGCCACGCGGAACCGCGGCTTAATCCGCCCGCTCCATACTCGGGTGAGCCCAACTCATGTCGGTCATTCCTGTCCCAATGCTCGCTGACTTTCACTCTCCAGCCTTCTTGTTTCCCCACGGAGCAATCCAGGGTAGCGTTCGTCATCACGCTCTTGGTGGGTCAAGCGAGAGAGTGGGGAATGGCCATGTGGGATAGCGAGCATGACTGCTGTTTGTCCTTTGAGGCATTCTCGAAGGAGTTGCGCAAGGTGTTTGATCGCTCGGCGCGGGAAATTGAGGCGGCACAAGCCCTGTCCCTGCTCCAGCAGGGAGAGCAGTCCGTGTCCGCTCGCCGCATCCTGTGGCTGGAATGAGAAGGCACTCTGGGATCACTTCCTCCACGGCCTGGCTGAGCACGTGAAGGACGAGATCTATTCCCTTGAGCTGCCTTCTGGCTTGGATGGGTTGATCGACCTCGCCATTCGGGTCGACGACCGGATTGCTCTCCGTTCCCGGCACCAAAGAGGGGGGATTCCCCGCGAGCACGTCACTGGGTTAGTTAGTAGTTAGTAGCGGCGTGTGACACGCTGTCTCAACGCCTCATCCTCCCGGAGGAGGAGCCCATGCAAGTCGGGAGAGCACGGCTGACCATA